TGCCTCACAACGTTAAAAGATTGCTATAAAGATTCTTGTTACCTATGTTAAACTGAAAATAGAACAAGCAAGCAAGATATCCCCTAAAAATCATCAATTAGGCAAAATGCTGACAGAGTAGCATGTTTTTAGTAATTGCTCTTGTGCCCACATATTCACTCCTAAGCTGTCCATTTTGCATGTCCATTTTGTGACACCAGAAAGTTAACCTTCAGAAGACCCAAGTGCTGGCTACCCTACGTGGAGTCAATAGGAACTGAAATTTATGCAGCAGGAATTACTTGCAATCTATTTATTTACTATTTATTAGATTATTTTATCTTTATGGTTGGGTTTCTTTCCTATCAGTTTAACCTACTTCAGTTCCAGTATTTCCCATTGCCTTCTGTGTGGAGACACTTGCCAGAGTACAAAATGAATCATAGTCTCTTTTTTTTTTTTTTGAAGGAGAGCCAAGAGAGACATTGAGTTAAAGAGTAAAGTAATTGGCACTACTTTGAGTTTTGATCTCACATATAGAAAACATAAAAGTTCAAGAGAACAGAGAATTCATCAGAATTGATTCAGTGTGACAAGGTACTGTAGGACTTCTGAAAAGTCATGTAAAATAAAGGCTAAACCCTCAGATTTTCAGCCTATCAAGTTGTTATACTTCAACCTTTCTTTCTCTCTGGAGGAAATGGTAAAAAAAGAGTGTTTTTTTTTTTTCTTTTTTTTCTTTCTCCATTTTATTCAAGGTAAAAAAAAAAATAAATGGGAAGAAAAAGTGAAATCTACCTAAGAAATTTCCTCATGTATTACAGCTTTGCAGTTGCAATCTTCTTACCTTAACCCCCAGTAAGAGGTCCAGATTAGTTCAACATATCAAGTCTTTCTGATTTATTTAAATGGGGCTGGGTCAATTATGTGAATAAGGAGAGGCAGTGCAATTCCTAGGACTGAAGGCTGAAGTGTCTACTTTGCCGTTCAGATCAACAAATCAAATATAAATCAAGGTACAAGCATTCAACAATCCTTTTAAACATTTTCTAAAAAGAGAGAGAAAAAGTGAGTCAATAGCAATAAAGTTTGTCCCCAGGAGCTGAGCAAAACTGAAATAGCATAGGCTACGCTACATTAAGGAGGAAATTGTAGGTTCTCAAGGTGGGAGCTGCTTTTTTCCATTGCATAAATGTAATTGAACAAACCAGAAAACTTTCGGCTGTACTGGAGAGGATGGTAATGAAGAATAGAGCTGACTTTTTCTCTTGGCCTCTTGGCCATAGTGTTACTCAAAGCTCTGTAGTGACACCCAGAAGACAGCTTTGGTGTTAGGAATACACCAAGACCTAATTTGATGTTTTCCTTGTTATAACTTTGGTTTTACCTTTCTAATCCAGAGACGAACCTTTTCCTTGGTACAGCATGAAGGAGTGGTGCAGATAAAGTGTTAGGGACTGACCACAGCCCCCATTCTCCATTATGCTCCACTGCTCCTTCACGGTCCCTCTCTGCCCCTGCTCCATGTGGGGTCTCTCCCATGGGATGCCGTCCTCCCCAAACTGAGAACACCCCAGCAGCCCTCCTGCTACCAAACCCTTGCCATGTACACCCAATATACTTTCCTGTTTAGGAGGTCATGGTCATTTTGAGGGCCACTGCTGCTAGGTGCCTACCTCCAGGGGAACACCCTACTTTGTGCAGAGACAACAGCACCAGCATATTAATTTTGCAACCCCCACAAATTATTTCAATAATAAACACTGCAACAAAGAGGAGGCAAAAGTGCAAAATCCTCATTTCTGGTAATAAAATATATTATTATATATTTCTGGGAAACAGAAAGATGGCTATTTCCAATTTAGAGTTAGGAAATAAATTATTTCTTCCTTTAGTAACATAATATGGGTCACTAATTATCAACAAAGCAGAAACTTTGGACCATCAGCTGTAGAAGTATTGACTGATGAGACTGTTAAAATGCTATTTTCAAAGCAGAATACCGGGTAAGTCCTTTGAGATATTGTAACTGTCCAAAAGATTGAACAGAAAAGACAAGAAACAATTTTCTCAGTATTTCAAAAGGATAATGTGCTGAAAATGTAAGTATAGGTCTGTCAGTTTAATGCTTATTCAAGACAAAATCTCAGGAAGGCAAAACAGGGTGTGCTCAGTGGAGAGTTAAGGCTGGGAGACATAATTAATACCAGAAAACATGGTTTAGTGAAAGATAAAACACAAATATTAAACACAAATAAGATTCATTTTTGGTGGGATTACCAGTCTGATGAAATGTGAAATTATTAAAATAACGGAGTTATGTGAGGACATATCATTTTCTCATTAAAAAAAAAAAAAAAAAAAAAAAAAAGGACTATTTCAACTTCAAAGTCTAGGTAAGCAAATTAAAAATTTACCAGAGAGATTTGAAAAGAAAATGCTAAATGAAAATGATAAAGCAACGTTTCTTGTATTGTTTTCTATCCAAATGTAGTTCAGGCAGCTCATGGATAGAGAGTGAAGGCAAGAGAAATCTGTGGTAAAGGCTGTGGTTGGCACTAAAGGAATGAGAGATAAAGATAGCTTCTAGAGAAAGGTCCAGACTGCAGGAAAATCTGGGCTTACCTTCTTTTAATTAAAGAGCTAGGTACAAAAATCACATGGCTAGGATTGGGGAATGTGGGTTGTAAGTGAAATAAAAAATGTATTAACATTTACAAGAAAAAAAATGTCCCTTTTTAATGAGAGCAGACTGGAGAGAGTTCAGATGAGATCTTTAGAATGATGCAAAATTTGGAAAGCCTTTAAAAAGTAACTGAGGAATGGTGCATTTTCTCTCATCTTCGTTCTTACACTAGTGCACAGCCCCAGCCACACAGAAATTTCACCTGCACCACCATTGCCAGAATCTGTTGAGCACCTTTCCATGGTTGCTGAGGTGACTCATTTAAGACCAGGATAAGAAAAATCATTCCAGGTAATGTGAGGCTCTTAAGATCCATATCTCTTGTATTGAGGAGCCCTGCACTCCAGCTGGGTCTCACCAAGTGTTGAGTAGAGCAGAGTTAAATCAAAACAGAAAATTGCAATTGTATTTTGTCCATTTGTTCTTGAACAAGATGTAGTGGAGAGAGAGTTTGTTGAAGACCAGAGTCAAGAGTGCCAAAGAAGAATCTATGAATTACAGGCACCTGATTTAATCAGCTGGTGAAGTAGAGAGACTTAACAAGAAAGATGACACAAATGAAGGGGAAGGAGGAGGAATAAGTAAGAGAGAGTGAAAGAAATTTCTGCCAGACAGCCTGTTCTCTGGGAGCTGGACTAGAGAAAACAAATATTTGGAAGTGTAAAATACTGAGTGAGCTATGGGAAAGAGCCCTCAGGGAAGACTCCTTAATGGAGAGCGGGGTCATTGCATGGGACAGGGCAAGAAGCATTCAACTCTTGGGCTAGGCCACGTGTCTTCTCACTTTCCATGAGTTTCTATTATTTTGTGCAAAGTAGAATAGCCACCACAGCACAGGTGTTAAGAACTACCCTAAAGAGCCTGATGGTTGAGATATTCCCCAAGAGGGGAGAGTTTTCAAGCAAAGGTGTGAATTGAAAATGGATGAGTACCATCAGATGTAAGCTTCAGATTATTTCTCTTTCTAATAGATAATACTATTGTCCTCAGTTCCAGAGCAGAAAAGAAGATACAGCAAACCCTAGAATAAAAGTTGAACAAGGACTCCAGTTTGAATGAAGTTTTCCTAAAGCGTGCACATTGAAGAAATGAGTCCTAATAACAAAACTTTTTAACGTGCTAGGCAATTGTGTAAGAAAATTCAGTAATGAAAACTTGAAATTTGGCAAGTTTCAATTAGGAATCAGGTAGCTATTTTTAACAGTAAGGACAGTTAAACCATTGGAACAACTTTTAGGAGAATCAGTCTTGTAAGTCCTTAAATGAACATTGCATTTCTTCACAGGAAGGTAGCTTCTGATTTAGACAGACTGTAAAATCTAAACATAGGAATCTTACTGTCAGCTTATATTGGATTTCAGAACAGCTGATCGTAATGGTTTAGTCATTCTGTTCAGTTGAATTTGTCTCAGCATGTCCTGTTGTAGCTTCCAACCCCATACAATTCCCTGTTCGAAGGGTGGCTTCTGAAATAACACTGAGATCATCACTCCAGACTATATTCAGTCAACAACAATTTCAAAATAAACAAATAAATTAACAACAATAATTTTAAAAACCTAACTTCCATTATATACTGTAATACAATAGTATACTATCCTATATAATAATAAAATTTATTTTTATGTCACTGCATAATAGATATTTAACTTGGTGCATTTTGTAACTAGAGGAACCTACTGTTTTTACTTGAAAATCTCTAGTAAAGGTTTACTCTAACAGATTGATAGCAAACACACCCAACAATTACTTCCTAACTCTTGACTGACATGAAGCCATTTTCCCAGTCCACAGCCTTTCATTTCATTATAACCCCTTTAAAAAGATGTCATACCATCCCTTTACTTTCAAGCTTAAGTTTTGCCAGGATGTATGTGTGGGGAAGTGGTAATTCTGAGATATTGGAAGCCTTCCAACAGGATAAGAACAGCAGTTTCCAGACATCCTGTTAACATCAATTTGTGGATAAATGTAACTTCTTATCATCTCCATTGCAGGCCATGGTTCTCAAAGACATTTCACTGTTCATATAGATTTGTTTGTTCTGTTCAGAAAGATAGAAGAGGGAAAATTCAGATACTTTGACAATAAAAAGGGCTGGAATAGTTAATGTCTGAAATAATAGTTAAACTTTGTAGAGAGCATTTCAAATAAGAGATTGAAATGCTGGATAAGGGGAAGCACTTTGCAGATTGTGATCCAGTTTCATCTTTGAAGACAGCCAAAAGGAAGTAGACAAGCTTAATGGAAGAGGTTACTCAAGGTGACTTGCCATCACTGTTCCCGAATGTGAAAGTAGCAGGTTAATAAAAAGTTCTTTTTTTTTTTTTTTTTTCTTTGGAAATAGAAACACAGCAACACAACCACACTGAATTTTAACTTCTCAGTGACCACAGCAACTTCCACTCAGTCTTTCTCAGTGAGGTATAGAGGCATGGTAGTCCAAGCATAGAAAGCTGCGGGTTCACAACTTCGAAAAGACTACCTGTAAGCCTTAGTCTGATCAGAATACAACACAAGGATCAAGATATTTCCTTTAAAATATACATGCATGCATGTACATATATGCCACTCTGAAGACATCTAGCCCCAGACCAAAGATATCTACCAAAGGAGGTTGGGAGAGGGCATTCTTGGAAGGAGATGTGAATTTAATTTTCAAAGCAGCAGTCCAATAGCAGAGTGAAGTACCATTTGAAATCAAGTGTCATTCCGTAGGAATGCAGAAGTTTTCCTAAGGAAGTTTTCCAATGTCAGGTGCTTGAAAAAAAGTTAAACCATAGAGCATTATCAAGACCTCTGGCACTCTGAATTAACATCAGCTACCTAGTAGTATGAGAGGCTAGAGTAATTCTCTGAGGCAGAGATAAGCAAGAGCAACCACAGAGAATCCCAGAGGAGAAAGAAAAGACAGCAACATTCCTGGTTCAGAAGAAAACATCAGGTGATGCATTATGAAATTACCATATTTTAAGGGTGGTGGGAAAATATCACAGCATGCCTGTACTCTCCAAAAAAGTGTTTGTTCAAGAAAATTTTAACTTTGCATAAGATGTACTTGCAAATTCAGTGGATACTTCTTGTCTGCATGGTTTATCTAACATACTGTGGACCCTTCTTTTTTCCTTAGAAATATCTAGGTCATGCAACTGCCTTTTGGAAAGTATTAAAATGTTGTTTGTAGAAAGAGGGATATATAAATTCAATTTCTTTAGACTAGAGAGAAAAAGTAAAAATTAACCTTGTAGTACTTTTTCCCATTCAAGTAACAGAAAGTTATCAATGTAAAACAGGTAAAGTGAAAAGCTGATATATCACAAAAGATGTGAGAGATCAAATACTGTGTTGAAATTTTCAGTGTTACAGTTTTATTTCTTTCACGTGTCATATTTTCCTAAAAATGTTTTTAGGAGAATACACAACAGTACACACACTTGTTTCTCTTTGAGTCTCTACTTAATACAATGCAAAAAGTACCTCCAGTCCCCTCTTCCTCCCCCCTCCAAAAAAAAACAAACTAGCTCTCCTATCCCCTGTCCTCAAAATAAAGTACTACCTATTTTTCTAGTTTAAATATCTAGAAGTTTTTTTTTGCTGGATACAGCAGAAAGTAAACATAGATATTCCTGCAGGTTTTGCAACCACTAATGTCTTCTTCTGAGATCCCAAAGACTGGAACAATTGCATTCAGCAAAAGGAAAACAATTTAAGGGAAAAAAAAAAAATGTATTCACTTATTAAAAATTAAATCGGAGTTTCACAATCAGCTGCTTCAAATATGCGTGAATAATGACAGCTAGAAACCAGTCTCTGCAGATCGCTCATGAAGTGGGTGTGAAGTTGAAGTCAGGATAGGAAGAAAAATCACAATGATAAAAGAGCTCTTTCTTGGAGCTTTTACAAGGTCATTTGGCCAATACCAGATAAAAGTGAATATTTCTCCAGTACCCTGTAACAAGAGGGAGAAAACAGAATTAAAAATTATCTTTTGCAGCAAAAATAAAAATCAAAGTCATACTACCCTAGAATTAAGTCCACTGGAAAATAAAGTCTCCCTTTTTGTGACAGGTTTTAGCTTTTAATTATGTAAAGCACTCATGAAGGGATTTCTATCTTTTTGTAAATTTAATTCACAAAACATTCTAATTATCTGCAGACATATTAATAAGTCTTTGAGCAATATATTAATGTAGCAAGCTGAAATGAGTTTTAAAAACAACAGTAATACAAGGATTTAAAAAGTATATCCGTCCATAATTCTTATAAAGTTCATATGTAAATATATCAGTGGTACTGTAGATACTGAGTAAAAACAACAAAGAACCCAATATGTTGAACTCCTTCAGCAGCCCAAAGTTTACAAAGCTTAATAGTATTCTGAGCTGCAAAAGATGGTCATTTCTACCCCTGTGGGGAATTGCCTTTATCCACTTATTGCAATTTCTTTGGTGAATTTGAGTTAATTTTTAATAACAATTCTACTCCTCATAAAACTGAAAAGATGACTCATGGGAGGCCAACTGTATTATTTAGATACTACCTTTAGGATACAACCCTGCTATGAAAATATTAACTAAAACTACTCTTGGAGCAGAAAATGAGGAATAAAGTTGTATAAGAGATTAAGAATATGTCAATTCACGTCTGAAAGAGAAGGGCTTTTAAATTATTATTTTTTAATTCCTCTTTAAAAATCCTAGGTTCCCAAAAAGGAGTTATCAGTCATCTCCTAAGGCAAGAGTAATGCATGTCACTACCTGAACCTGCATCAAAAGTCCCCAAGCCTAAAAGTAAAGGTTCTGGACAAATCTTTAAATCAGAACTGGGAATTAGGGCAGGGAACCTCTTTCAGAAAAGAACATAGGTTCAGTGAGGCTTATGAAAAGGTCACGTGAAAACAGAGGACCTCATTTTTCTGATGCAATACTGTTGATTTTTTTTTTTTTTTTTTTGACAGTTTCTACTGATTCAAATGGTCTCCCTTTTTGAACATGGGAAACAGCAGGAAGACTGCAGCCAATAACAAAGTTGTAGTCTTTCACTTACAACCACTGAAAGTTTGCAGAATTACTTTCTGCATTTACAGCCACATTTCTCAGCTGCCCAGAGGTATCCACTCACAGTCCACAACGTAGAGAATATGAATTTATTAAGGTATTAGCAGCAAATATCACCACATCCTCAGTGAACAATTTCAATGGCATCAGTTTCCTCTGACTTGAAATAAACATTCTGCAGTTCTTTAAAGGAGAAGGAGTTTAAGATTTGGTAAGTGCATTGCAAAGCCCCATGCACAGAGTTGGAAAGTGTTTAAGACGTTCCCTCATAATACTGTAGAATTAAACTACACAAGCTGTCATACTGAAATGTCAAAGATGAAATGAAATGAATACCAGCTTTGGTACTAAGTGTATTGGGTTTACATAGCAAGGTTTTTGGTAGCAGGGGGTCTCAGCTGTGGCCTCTGCAGATTGAAGAAAGGGAAACAGAAAACTGCTGCACAACAGCAGCTGGGATAGCAAGGAGTGAGACCCAGCCCTGCAGACCCCAAGGTCAGTGCAGCAGGAGGGCAGGAGGTGCTCCAGGCATGCAGCACAAATTCCCCTGCAGCCTGTGGAGAGGCCCGTGGTGGAGCAGGCTGTCCCCCTGCAGCCCATGGGTGCCACATGGAGCAGATCTCCACGCTGCAGCCCCCCCATGGGTGGAGGAGCCCCCGGTGGAGCAGGTGGATGTGGCCTGGAGGAGGCTGTGGCCCATGGAGAGCCCCCGCAGGACCAGGTCCTGGGCCAGAGCTGCAGCCCATGGAGAGGAGCCCACACAGGAGCAGGGGGCTGGGGGTGCCAGAATCCCGTGGGAGGGACCTCACAGGGAGCAGGGGCAGAGAGGGACTGTGAGGAAGCAGCAGAGATGAATCCCCAAGGAATGAGAGTCCCCAGTCCCCACTTGGGGGGAGGAGGCAGAAGAGGGGAAGGTGTTTTTAGTTTGCTCCTAGTTTCTCACCACTCTATCTTGTTAGTAATAAATTTCATTAATCTCCCTATGCTGAATCTATTTTGACCGTGAAAAAAAATGTTGAGTGATCTCCCTGTCCTTATCTCAACGCTTTAGACCTTTCCATTGTATTTTCTCCCCCTTTCCCTTTGAGGAGGGGGTGTGAGAGAGCGGTTGTGGTAGAGCTCAGCTACCCAGCTCAGTAAAACCACCACACTAACAAGAACTAACAAATTAATTATTCTTACCTTTCAGTAACACTGATCCTTTATTTCAAGTAGCTTGATCCCTAGATAAAAAGAAAAAAAAATAAAAATGCATTAGTACAGTTCAATTCACAGTACAGTACAATGGGACATTTATGCCAGGAATTATGGTTATCCAGCTTTACGGGTCTTTCTTGGTTACTTGGTGCCTGTTCCTGTCTTTTGAAGCTCCATTTAAAATAATAAGTAAGTCCTTTTGGAAGATCCCAGTTCCAGTAACAAATATTTCTTTGATTTGAACTGTATGTGAATAGTGGGATGTATTGACTCAGGAGATAAACATATTTTGGTTTTGCTGAAAAAAAGTTGATCTAGAAGTGTTCCAAGTATCTGTAGATGTTTTGGTCCTTTCTTGGTCACACACAATTTGTAAGAGTGAGAGGTTTCTTCTGGTCCTCCCCAGACTACCACTATTCTCTTTGAGGATGAGGTTTTCAAAAGAAAGTATGATTGAGCTCAGAGTCAAGCCAGGCAGAACACATCTGCATATGCTGTTTGACTGCCTCATCAGAGGTAAGTCATTAAACTCAGCTACAGCACGCCTGGACCTACTCATCCTAGGTCCCTATATCAATGCCAGTACTTCTGCTGAGTGTTTTTGTTTTGTTTTGTTTTGTTTTCCTTCATCATTCAGCCAGGAAAGACTAGCCCATTACTCTAAAGAACTGCAACAAAACAATTTAATAAAAACTTTAGACTAACCAGGCTAAATGTAAGATAGAAAACACCAGTCTTTGTTAAAACAAATTTAGCCATTGCGGATGGCACTCTGGAGCCTTCTACTATAAATACTCTGTTCCAAATATTCCCATGTTAAATAAAATATTTTTCTATGTCCTGGGAAACCAGCATTTTCAGCGTAACTCTACACATGTATAAGCTTAATGAAGTCTATATGAAAGACTTAAAGTGTATGGAAAACTATGGCATACATGCCAGCCTTGTAACTTCATTGACTTTAGAGCTATGATTCTTCTTTGCTGTGCAACAATAAAACTGCATGACTGTATTGGGTTTACATGACAAGGATTTTTGTAGCAGCTGGGGTGGGGCTGCAGCGGTGGCCTTGGTGAGTAGGTGAGAGCCAGATCCAGCCATCTCCAAAAGGGACCTGCCACTGGCCAGAGCTGAGTTAGCGAGTGATGCTGGGTGGGCCTCTGGGAGAGCAGATTGAAGAAAAGGGGAAACAACTGCCGGGCAACAGCATCTGGGAGAGAGGAGTGAGAAGCAGCCCTGCAGACCCCAAGCCAGTGCAGCAGGAGGGCAGGAGGTGCTCCAGGCACACAGCAGCAGTTCCCCTGCAGCCTGTGGAGAGGCCCCTGGTGGAGCAGGCTGTCCCCCTGCAGCCCATGGGTCCCACATGGAGCAGATCTCCACGCTGCAGCCCGTGGAGGAGCCCTGGTGAAGCAGTTTGCTCCTGGGGGATGGACCCCATGGTACGGAGCCATATGGGAGCAGTTCTTGAAGAGCTGCTGCCCGCAGGCTCAGTTTGGGACGGACAGCATCCCATGGGAGGGACCCCACGGGGAGCAGGGGCAGAGAGTGACCGAGAAGGAGTAACGTAGACGAAGCGTCAGGGACTGACCGAAGCCCCTCTTCCCCATTCCCCTGTGCTCTCCAGGGGGAGGACATAGAAAAGGGTGGATGAGGGGCAAGTGTTTTTAGTTTGCTTTTAGTTTCTCACTGCTTTAGTCAGTTATAGGCAATAAATTACATTAATCCCACTACACTGAATTTGTTTTGCCCGTGATGGTAATCGTTAAGTGATCTCCCTGTCTTTACCTCAATCCCTGAGCTTTCTTTCTCCCCCTCTTCTTTTGAGGAGAGGTAGTGAGGGAGCGGCATCATGGAGCTTAGCTTCCCATTGGTGTGAAACCTCTACAATATGCTCCCTCTCAGTTTCTTAGCAAATAGCATAAATCTGGTTAAGACTCCAAAGTAACATTTCCATGAAGCATGTCACAAGAACTAAACCAAGTGCTAATCCACAAACCATGCTCATTTAATTTAGTTTTATCCCCAAACCATGTTAGTTTTGTCCCACATCCTCTTAGTTCCTGTCCTATGCAGGAAAAAGAAACAGAATGTGGTTTCCTGTCGCATTGCACCTGTGTATTCAGGGCATAGTTGTTTCCATCTCTAAATATCTAGAATTATGCATCAACTGAAAGAGCAGAGTCAGCATCTGAGAGAGCATTTCTCATTCATATGCATGACACAGGGCGTAATGGAGGCATGAAACATGAAGGTGCAATATGTCATGTTGCCTTGTAGATTCTGGGTTTACTATAGCTCAGAGAGTTGCAACAAGACATCCAGTACTTCATTAAAGAAGAGTAGACATATACATTTCATCTGTTCACTATGTGACCTCTTCCCATAAATAGAATAGACAATAGGGTCCTTGACAGGGACCCGAAAAATAAACAAGGGCTCTGTTACAGGCATTAGCACGTGGCCTCTGGAAATCCCTTAGTGCTTGAGCATGGACAAATCTCACAGGGGAGTGAATATAAAAAAGTGCCATTATTTTAGTTATTCTTTTGTAAAAATAGAAATGTTTTTGTATTTAAATAAAGCTAATCATTTGTGCCACTACAGTGAACAGATATTGTCTCACTTATAGGCCCCAGCTGAGTAAAGAGTAAACCTTATTGATTAAACTTTGATGTTGATATGACAATCGTTATTTTTTCCCTCATATCCTAAAAGGTTTATATGTATGTTAGAAAAAATGGCAGCACAAAGGACATCAACATTTTCTTGGTAGCGTACAAGATTCATTTCTCTCTCAAGGGTGCAGTAGCTCAACAGAGAGAAGGAGAAATTCATTAATTTGTCTTCCCATTAAAAAGGCAAACCACACAACCACCCAGAGAGCGCTCTGGCATTTATAACCAAAAAGGGAGAAAAGACTACTTTCATGAAGATACTTCTTGAAATAACAGGATATAAATATTCCTAATAAAACACTAGATGTCTGGAAGGCAGAATTGGTTTATTATCAGTTGGTGGACTACTGGGCGGTGCAACTGCTCTCTTCTCCCCTGGCCAAACACATGCAACAAATTTACCTTCCCCTGCCTTTTTATGTCCCTCATGATACCCAGCCACTGCCCAGCTTCTCCTATCCTTCTAGCCACTGCTTTTCATGGAACAAATGGAAACTTAATTATCTTTGAGACTTATACTCCCTTTCAAATTCATCTAAGACCGGCCAGCAGGTTGAAAACCTAATTACATGCAGACAGACAGCATGGTCGTACAAACTTCATTTCCTTCGGAAACCAGGCTAATAGAAGTAATAACGAAAAATACAGCAGGTATATTGATAACGGTGCAATGTTCAGTTTCTGTAAGCGTGAAGCATTTGTGACTGTGAAGAGTTCAATCATAAAAGAAAAAAAAATAAATTGGGGAAGAACAAATATTTCCTCTTCAGTGCAACTACAACGAAGGAGCAGGGTCAAAAATTACCTGCAGGTCTCAACTTTGGGAACCTTTTCCTTTTCTTTTAATCTTAGTATATGGTCTGACCTCCTTCAGTTAGCTCCCTTGTAATGCAAAACACCATGTTGCAGACGACATGACTAGTAAGCCACTCTTGGAGTTCAGCTCTTTTTGCTTAAAATCCCAAGGGAGCGGAGAAGAGCCTCGATACAATCAAAGACACCAAGGCTGCAGCCTCCAGCCTACCGTTTGAGAAAGATTTTTATTTCTTGCTCTTGTTACCAAAACTCATTTTAATTCCTCTCCTTGATGACATACTCTTTCATACTTTATTCTTTCCCTGCTTTGTTCAGTCTTCTGAACATTTCATATTGTGGCATAGAGGAAAAATGGATAATCTAGCATTATGCAACAGAAGGCAGGCTCCTTGGGAACCGTTAAGTAAACATCCAGAGTAGGAAATTTATCACTTCTGCACACAGGGTTTTGTTGTTAATTATGTTGATGTATTCTTTGAATATATATATATATATTAAAAAAAGAAAAGCATAAATTGGCTGTGGACATTACAGAGCTGTCTGCTGTTAAAACTGTGCCTGGGCTGCATTTGGTGGCACCAACACCTGCCACGGGGGAGAGGACGTATGGCAACTGACTACAGGCAAAACCCTGCTCCTTCTGCAGACAGTGCAGAAGTTTTAGGTGGTGACAGCAAATGCACTGGTGGAGATGCTGTAGTTCAGATATTGAGACTGTTGGTTGTTATAGACCTTCTTTTATCAGGAAACAGTTTACACATTGGGATAAAGGACACAAAGTGAAATAAAAAGAATTATTTCTACCTTTGTTGCCTTGGTTAACCAGGCCCCCTTCAGAAGATTTTACCTTTTGCATCTTACTAGGTATTAGTTACCTCTGTCCTATCTGAAGTCTAACACTGTTACTTACAAGAAAATCATACAGGCCTGCCATGTAGAGTTTGCCTCAGCAAGTCCAAGAGAACTGCTGGGCACAGAGGTGGCTTCAGCCCGAAATTCCTGAGCCTTCCACCATGGCTTGGGGCTTGCCCAAAGCTCCAAGGGATTGAGACTCCTTTTCCATTTTCAGTATCTGGAAAACTCCAGCAGCAACACTATCTTCTTCTCTATCATTCCCAGATTTTATAGATGCCCAGGTTTTCCTGGCATTCATCTGCCAAGATCCAAATCCACACCAAACATTCTAAGCAATCCTCAAGCTTTTCTTCTGGTTGTCTTCTAGACAGTTTTCCCTACACTGGCACACTCAGTTCTCTTAGACTCATATCATTTTGCTGCTCAGTCTTTGAAAATCTTCCATTTCCACAGTGTAGTCCTCTCTGCAATGGAATTTCACCCTAATGGAAATTTTCAAGTTGGGAGTACCGCACTTTTTGGGGTTTGTTTTTTGTCACTGAAGCAATTCTAAATAAGTCATATTAATGCCTCATTAGGACAGCTGAAAAAAAACAAACCAAACCAAACCAAACCAAACCAAAACAAAACAAAACAAAACACAGTCCTTAGTACTGGCTATGTAATAGGCTCCAGTCAAGATACCTTGTCTCCAGAAAAAAAAAAAAAATACAAATACTATATATTTTCAATTAGATGCAGTTGGTTCTTCCTTACCATAATTTTATACAGGAAGAAATGAACAGAAATGAGATTTCCCTCCTCCACTTTCAATATCATATTAAAGCATTTACAGCCTTTCCAAACATATTTCATTTAAAGACTTTCCAAAACCCCCATACAATTTCACTACCCTTGTTCTGAACTTCAGGAAGTACATTGGATTCGGTTCCTTGCACTACGTTCCATGCACAGCAACCGAGTTCTGCTGCAAGAGCAGCTGTTACTTCCTCCTCCCATTTGAACAGCTTATATTTAAGACAAGTTTTATTCTTAAAAAGCTACTGTAGGCAGCCAGCCAAGACTGCCAGGCAGGCTAATCACACACAGACACATAACAGTGTATGGGAAAAAGTCAATTTTTAAACAATACCATTGCTTTCATGTTCTGTACCAAAAAACTTACCCAGGCACCATTACTGAGGTAGTCCAGACTCCCAGAATATCCAGGTTGGCAGATGTTATTAGTCTGTGTTTTGTTCTGGAGTCGGTCCAGGAAAGCATTATTTACCCTTAAAATAAAGTTAAAAATGAATACTGATTGAAGATAGCCGAGGAGTTCACAAACTCTTGAAATTTAACATTCTGTGAGCAGCTTTCCCTATTCCCAGTTAAATGCACATCATTCTATGCTTTTCAAGCCTGTGTTGAATAACCACGGCCTGGCATGAGATAGGGTAGCTTTCATTTTCAATTCACTAGGTGCATTCTTATCCTGTGATCAATCCATCATGATTAAAAGGCATACCTTGGCTTTTGTGAGAAATGGCCCAAAATTCTCTCTAGAAAGTCATCCTGCATACCACTCACTTGATCAGTGAGGTTAGCTATTTCAACAATTCACCTTAGGTAGTCTTTCAGCTTTCATTACACAAGTTCCTACAAGTTCTGATTTCCTAATGAAAAAAAAAGACACTTAAGCTTCTTCCTAACAGAGACCAGTTGTGTAGCTGACACCTTTCCCAACCATTTAGCTCAGAAAGCAACTCTAGCATTTTCTTGTACTGCTTTATCAATCTGCAGTGCATGCACACAGACGGATGCAGTTTCCCTCCATTTCAAATATTTTCAAACCATCTGAAAACTGTTTCTTTTTATCCTTATTAATGCTCAGTACTGACACACATGCTTAGACATGACTGTTGTTTCAGTGTTTTACAATGCTCTTTGCACAAAGGATGCAGAATGCAAGATACTGGATTATTTCTATCTGGGGACACAGGAAAGACTCAATTGAAAATCCTTCATTAAATTCTATGGGTAATTATCTCAATATCTTTGCTGGAGAAATAAAGCAATGAAAACTGTACAGAAAGTGGTTGCCTACAGAAGTATTTTTTTTTTTAATTTACCTAACTATAAAAAAAAGGTTGCTTAAAAAAAAAACACAACTCAAAACAAACAAACAAACAAACAAAAACCTTCTGAGGGCTATTTCTTTATACCTGCAGAAAAATAAAAATAAAGCTAAGAAAAAAGCTGAACTTCAAGATAATGAAAAGTCATTTAAGTGACAGAACTGCAAGATCAGAACACAGCGCAGGAGTGAGCACAGCCTGGGACACAAAGTACCACAGCAGCAGAAAGCCTCACTGCACTGCAGGTGTCAGTATCTAATCCCATGCTTAGCTCTGACTGTTAGCTTCAATGACAGTCAACTTCAAAAAAGTTGTGTGGACAAAGTAGCCTGTTCCAAAATAAAATAAATCACTGTATATATAAATAAATATATATATATATATATATACACATATATATATAAATATATATGTGTATATATATATATATATATATACATATATATGTATAATATATATTACTTTTTTTCCCCAGCTGGCTTTAAGTTCTCATGAAACTACTAATAGTTTCTGTCCCATGCTATATCCTGTGCTGATAAAATAAAATGAACAAGACACTCTGAGTAATACTGCATTACTGTGAGCAGCTGTAATTATGGATATTGGTGGTTTATCCAAAGGTGATGTTAAACCAGAGGCTAAGTCACGATTCCTCATTGCAATAATTTTCTTAAGCATGAATGCATGAATGCCTGCGATTTTGAGACCCTTTCCAGATACAAATTAAAGTATATTATGAGTTTTTGCATCATACCTCCTCTGTTCGTTTTGAAGTGCTCTTGTCCTGGCTTCCTCTTCATTCTTTTGTTTTGATTCCTTTAATTGAGCCTGGGAATGATAAAAGTGAAAAACTAAAACAAAAACAAAAAATTAACTTCTAGTTAACATGCCTATGTTGAAAACCCAATGAATTCCATGTGGCATTAATTTCAAATAGAGCTATGTGTCATTCCTGTGTTTTGCTCAGCAGCATTTTGTTTACATGACAGCACAGGGCTCAAAACTGAGCTCCTTTTTCTGTTCAGTGTTGCAATGGACTGGGTATAAGTGAATTCAGACAGCTACAGTCCTATATTTGAAGACACCAGCCTGCACACAAGCTTTTTACGTGGGTAGATAACAGGACAAGTGGGAATGGGTTTAAACTAAAAGAGGATAGATTTAGATTAGGTGTTAGGAGGAAATCCTTCACTCAGAGGGTGGTGAGGCCCTGGCACAGGCTGCCCAGAGAAGCTGTGGCTGCCCCATCCCTGGAGGTGCTCAAGGCCAGGCTGGATGGGGCTTTGGGCAACCTGGGCTGGTGGGAGGTGTCCCTGCCCATGGCAGGGGGGTTGGAACAAGATGATCTTTAAGGTCCCTTCCAACCCAAACCATTCTGTGACTCTATGATTTGTCCCTCTACCCTAGTCCTTTTCTTCCAGACAAACACTGTTCCTTAGCATAGCAAGCCCCCACTGGCTCCAGTTGGCCATACAGTATGAGGCAGAGGCTCACAACCCTGCCTGTGCTCCTGCCCAAGTGCTGAAATGCCTGCAGCTCCTCTGATATCTAAAATACTCCAAGGAAGCTTAGGCAGTAGGAAGCAGACCTTCAGCTTCCTCTTCCCCACCCCTCAGGTTTGAACTTCCCAGCAGGTCCAAGGGGAAGAAAGCAGGAGTCATCAAGCAGGAGCAGACTCAGCCGGTAGGATACGATGGAGACATGCCTCTGGCCTCTGTGGAGCATGGGCAGACAACATGAGCTTGTGGCATGGTGTATCACCTCCAGCTCCCTTGGACTCCCCATAGTGTGAGTGAAGGTCAGTTGGTGCCTACTGGTGTTGTGAAAGCATGTGCAAGCTCCCAGTGTTGCAGCAGCCTACAATCCTTACATCACACAGTATTGAGTTATATAAACAGTGTCAAAGGGACTTCTCCGAAGAGGAGAGTTTGCTTATCCAATTTTAGCTGGGACTGCTAAGGAAACACAGCTTGTATGACTGTGCTTCACACATATGCTTGTTTGTCTATCTGTTGCTCCCTGCAATGCACCCAAGGACCGAAGATGCAGATTTTCCTGAAGAGAATTTGGCTTGCAGGGTCAGGGAGAATGGATGGGAACAGACCCATCCTTCATATT